TCTTCAAAGAGAATACCGAAAGCAGGTGTCTGCTGACATGCTGGATCGCGCTATTTCCGTGGTGAGATGAGACGTGGATGTATGAATACGACACGCTTACAAGTCAACAATCGTCCGAATGGCGACCGAAAGATGCTCCAAAACCGAAATTATGAAATTCGGCAAGCAATCAGAACATAGACTGACGTAACCAGCGACTGTAAACAAACTACTTTACAGATCTCGCTCAAACTTTACTTAGTAATGCAGAACAGTGTTAGCAACAAAACGAAAAAAGAATTTCCGAAATCGGTTTAGCACGGGCGTTTTAATTAATCCAGTCCCGGTACTTTTTTTGACAGAAGGTATATATAGCAACCCTCGCACACCTTTCTTTCGCACACTTAACCCTCGTCACAGTTATGGTGACGGGACAAAAAATGTGATCTTCTTTTTGTATATCATGAAAATAATATGAAAAACCATCAGATCCATCCAAGTTAAAACGCTTTTTATCCGAATGCCATTTCTACTGCCAGCAGATACATCAGATATTCATATAGCATATATACTATATATATATATATACTATAGCAGATACATCAGATATTCATCGTAACTTTTGGTTTCATCGCAACCGACCCTTATGAGAATATCATAATATAATATAAACAATTTAATACAATACAAAAAATAAAAAAAGCCCCAAGCTTTTTAGAAATGCCAAAGTTGGTATTTTTACCAAGTACCATTTTCGATCATTCAGTTATATGTCAGCTATACGATATAGTCGGCCGATCCTTATGAAATTGTTCATGTTGTCTTTCAGTTTCAAAGCTATAGACTTAAAACTTTCCACTCACCTTTCTTTCCTTTCTTCGGCACATTGTCCCAAACTTAAAACAAAAAAATGTTTCCTCTGTGAAAAATTTTCTCTGAAATTGGGTTGGAACAAGTTTTTTCCATACAAAAATATAGATAGTGTTAAGAGGAGCCCCAAATAATAAGTTCGTACTTCAATGAATTCCGTTTAGAAAATGATTTTATTTGGTAAAGTTCTCGTATAAGTAAGATACATGAAAATCTTAAATCTATTTAAAACTACTTACCAACGCACTGCACGCTGACATGCTATGCGACCCTTTCTCAAGTGCGATAAACGCACCACTTATGTCTGTATTTGTGTTAGGCTGCAGGGGATCGGTTTTAGACCATGCTGTTTGTCTCGTATTTCCATGGGTCCGATCCCTTGAAAGTCTATCTTTGGAATTTATATCTACAATTGTGTTCAATGCTTGAACAGATAGGAAAGCGTAGTTTTTCATTTGTTTTTTTAAATAAAATACACTTGTATAATTAATAAATATAGTAAATTTTCGGCTCACATTGTTTTTTGCTTTGACGCATACAGTCAAATTGTAAACTTGTGTGCGTTTTGCCCCCCACTGCACTATGGGGTTTTTGACCTGTTTTTGTGGTATTAATTAGGAACTCGGTCAGTTTTGGAGATATCGACATGAAACTTTACCAATCGTTATTATTTGATCCTAGGCACATATAGTATGAAAATCGTTCGGATCAGGAAACTATATCCTATAGCTCCCTTAGGAACGTTTTGGTAAAAGTAAAGATAAATTAATGAAATTTAAGGAGCTGATATTTGTTGCTATTTTAATACGATATAGTAATTTTAAACCAAATGGGACAACGCTTTCCCTGGGAACTGTCAGTTTAAAATACCGGATTTCAGTGTTCTTCCATACAAATGCATATAAAAGTTGAAAAAGAAAAATTCCTTCATACAGTAGTATTAATCTTATTATTCTTTTTTTTTTTTTTCATTTTCTATAATATATCAATATTATCTAAAAATAAAAAGCTGAAATCGTTAAATTCGTCATCTTCGAGACAAACATTATTTTCGTATTCGTACGAAAGCATCTGAATTACCTCAATTGGAAGTAAAAGACTCTTTAGTTTTTTATGCATTTCGATAAATTAAGGACGAAATAATTGGATCTTATGTATCCATAGCTCTGTTGAACATATCAGCGATGGAATGTAATCGGTAGTGTTTTCTTAAATGGTGACGCCTGTCTGATTTATACAGCTTGTTTCAGGACTCAGACGCTTCTTCTCCAAAATAGCCGACTGAAAGCACCGTATTTTCCATTACTTCCATTAAAAACTGGTGGCTTTTTTTCAAAACGGCATTATCCACATTGTTATTTGCATGGCGTTAAAAAAAAACATTGTACAGCCATTTGATGCTCAGCCCGGCCCCTTTCGCTGTTCCAAGCAGCGACCAAGTCGGCTTTTGGAGAAAGTGAGGTTATCTAAGAAAAATTCAAATTGCACCAATAGTGGAGAAAAGTGCACAATAAGACTAACAGCCTTTGCTCAGTATTGACAACGCTACACTTGTAGGATTATTATATAAGGATTATATAAGGATTATTCCTTCTATTTCAAAACTCTTCCTAAAGTTGAAATTTGTTTCCCAAAATTCAGCTTAAGGGGAGGGTAAGGTCAAATCATGCGAAAAAAGCCATGTTTTTGTGATTTTTTTCCTGACGACACAGTTAAAATTTATTTATTCAACCAACGGTATATTAATGTATGACATTAGAAGAATGTTTAATAAAATTTTTACAAAAAAATATTTAAAAATATGGCAATGGTAGCAATTGTCCGGACGTGTCGCCAAAAAAAGTTGAATTGCGGTGCCCCTCATAACTCGGTGCTGGATCATTTGTAATCAAAAAATGAAAATTCATTCGTTAGATAATAGTTCGCCCCAGGTAACGCTGTAAAGGTTTTTTGAAAATTGCAATTTTTTAATTTTTTCGAAGACTTTGAAGTGAAAAACTCAATTTTTTGGGAAAAAATCGGGTAATTTGTCATTGCCAAATCAAAATTATGAACAAAAAAAAAAAAAACTCGACAGCGTTACCTCGTAAAATATGTACAGAAATGGTGTTTAAAATTTCAAAAGGATCGGTGCAGTAGTTTTGAAGTTATGAGGGGCACCGACTTTGAAAACGTGAGTTGTGGGAAAAACGCTTTAAAGTTTTAAACACAAAAAAATCCAGTGTAAAACGTTTGCAAGCAACTTCGTCAATAACTAATAACTTCGTCAATTTTGCTTTAATTGACTTGAAATTTTGACACAATATTCTTCAAATATTATGCATTCAATTTAAAAAAAAAAAAAAAAAAATGACAAAAAAAAAAAATTTAATACCTTACCCTCCCCTTAAGGTGCATCTATAAAATGACAAAATTTTAGTATAGACACGCACAATTTAAACAGTTAATACATTTAACATGTAGTACAAACCTGTGAAATCAGTGTCTATTACTATTTTTCTTTTTAAATGGAGTTTTAAACAAATAATCTAATTTCACAAATCACTATGTGAAAATTGCAAACTTAGCGCACGTGCTTTCGACTGACTTTGCAGCTGTTATGCTAGCATATGGTTCTAATAATTAATATTTTGAGTATGAGGCATAATAGTTTGATGTTTTCTTAATACATTCCCATTAATTTTTTTTAAATCAGAGAACTTTCAAAAAATGATTAAATGCCACATAAAGTGGTCAAAAACCCCATAGTGCACTGTTTTAGAGTTAGAGAGTTCTGATTTTGTATAAATTTTGAATATATTGAATATAATTAACGTCAAAATAATATGAAGTACCAAATTTCATAATGATCGGCTGGCTATATCTTATAGCTGCCATATAACTGAAGGATCGGAAATGACCCAGCTTTCGTGTTTTTTACGATAGAATCTTCGTACAGACTCTATTTTTGGTCAGTTGATCCCACCTACTAAATTTCATAACGATCGGCCGACTATATCTTATAGCGGTCATATAACAGAACGAAAATTGTATTTGGTGAAAGTACCAACTTTAGTATTTTTGAAGATAGAAGCTTGGGACTTTTTTTTAGATTTTGTATTGTAATAAATTGATTTTATTATAAAATTCTCATAAGTATCGGCCAACAATATCCGATTTTTGCCGGTTTATATATCCGGTTTTTATACCCTTGCAGAGGGTATTATAATTTTGGTCAAAAGTGTGCAACGCAGTGAAGGAGACATCTCCGACCCTATAAAGTATATATATTCTTGATCAGGATCACCTCCTGAGTTGATATGAGCATGTCCGTCTGTCTGTCCGTTTCTACGCGAACTAGTCTCTCAGTTTTGATGCTATCGTCTTGAAACTTTGCACACACCCTTCTTTCCTTTGTACGCAGTATATAAGTCGGAACGGCCCGGATCGGCCGACTATATCCTATAGCTGCCATATAACTGATTGATCGGAAATGGTATAACTTTGGTGTTTTTAGAGTTAGAGAGTTCAAATTTGACACTAGAGCTATTTTTGGCAAATTATTACGACATGCCAAATTTCATAAGGATCGGCCGACTATATCTTATAGCTGCCATATAACTGAACGATCGGAAATGACCCAACTTTCGTGTTTTTGAAGATAGAAAGCTAAAACTTAATACAGATTCTATTATTGGCCAGTTGATCCGACCTACCAAAGTTCATTAGGATCGGTGGACTATATCCTATAGCTGCCATATAACTGAACGATCGGAAATGGTACTTGGTAGAAATATCAACTTTCGTATTTTTGAAGATAGAAGCTTGGAACTTTTTTTTAGATTTTTTATTGTAATTAATTGGTTTTATTATGATGTAATCATAAGGATCGGACAACTATATCTGATGTTTTCGATATATATCCGGTTTTAACTGCAAGGGTATATAAACTTCGGCTCCGCCCGAAGTTAGCTTTCCTTTCTTGTTTTTTATTATAATACCTTTTACTAGGGTGACACTAATAGGTAGTAAGATATTAGTATAGTAATTGTGGAAGAAGTTTTCACTAGTCCCATAACTAATATTTAATATTATTCATATTATAAGTTTTTGACCAAATTATACATTTAAACGTGTAAATATTATTTATTATTTGTATTTGATGCTTTCAGGAAATAGTAGTCGCTAATTCATTGTCTGTAACAAGTGGTTTACTGAACCTAATGGAAAACTGCCCTAAAGAAGCTGCTCACTTGAGAAAAGAGTTATTAATAGCAGCTCGACATATATTTGCCACTGATTTGCGTCAAAGTAAGTACAATCTTTTGGCCACAATCTTTAATTTTATAAGACAACTCATTTAATTACTCTAAGATAACATATTGAGTTAATTTTTATATTATCCATCTTTTTTATACCCTTGCAACGAAGGCATCTCCGACCCTATAAAGTATATATATTCTTGCAAGGATCACCTCCTGAGTTGATATAATCTTCACACACTTTTCTTTCCTTTGCACGCACTATATAAGTCGGAACGACCGGGATCGACAGACTGTATCCTATAGCAGCCATATAACTTAGTGATCGGAAATAACCCAATTTGCTTGTTTTTGAAGATAGAGGGCTGGGACTTAGTACAGATACTATTTCGGTCAGTTGATCCGAACTACAACGATCATAACGATCAGCCAACTATATCTTATAGCTGCCATATAACTGAACGATCGGAAATGGTATTTGGTAAAAATACCAACATTTGTATTTTTGAAGATAGAAGCTTGAGGCTTTTTTTTTTAAGGTTTTGTATTGTAATAAATTGGTTATATTCTTATATACTTATGTTGATCACTAAATTCGATTTTTGCGATATATATCCAAATAGCAAGTCAAATATGGGCATAGTCGAAGAACCTATGACTATTTCTAGATGTGTTTTTGGGGTTTATTAGTAGGTATTCAAAACTTTAAATCGTTTTTCCCTTAACACAAGTTTTAAAAGTTTGCGCCAAAACTACTGTACAGATTGTTTTTAAATTTCGAACATTACATCTGTTTAAATCAGGGGTGGGCAAGCCCATGGCTCTTCGGGCTCTCAAGGCTCCCTCCGTTATTCGTAATTTTTGGCGTCAGCAAATCGGTCCAGACGGTCGGGTCACGCGGCCAGTGAGTCGTGGAGATTTACAAAAACAATGCTACACAAATTTCGAAACAGGTGCGGACCCGACTCCTCGGTCCCGAGTTTGCAACAACAAAAAATAAGGGTGGGTTTGCGCACAAGCAACTTAAAACAAAAACAATTTTAAAGCGAGCTGCGCAGTTGTCGTCGACTTCTGCACAGCCAAAAAAGTTTGGAAGTCATTCTGTGCAGTGAATTCAAGACAATAATAAATAAGTTACAAAATAATAAAAAATTAAATGTACTGAAACTGTTTTTGTCAGTGTATTCTTTTTGCTCGCACATTCTGTCTGGCTCGTGGCAGCGACGCATCGCGACGGAGGTGGTTGTTGTTGTAACTTGTTGTTTGGCCAAGCTGCGGCTCCGACCGTTAGATTTTGTGCCCACCACTGGTTTAAATTATGTCCAAATCGATTATCTAACGGTAAGACCTATTGAAATTATTATGATTTTATTAATTTCTGAAGATGAACCCCTAAATCCCCTTTATTTTTAGGCGTGATTATTTGATTATTTTAGGCGAATAATTTGATATTTGATTAATTCACAATGTGCCTTAATTAACCTTTGACATCCACCAAAGATTATAAAGTGCATATGTAGATGGGACATCAGGGCCCAAAACGGTCAACTTTTTTCGTCGAGCTTGTTGGTGAGAGGGATACGCACATGCATACGATTCTATTTTTAGAACTCTTTACATGTATGCTTAAAAAAATGTGTGCCTTTCGATAAATCGCACAATCGACCACCTTTTATGTCCTTTTAAAACAGTGTTGCTCATCCCATTTCTCTCGCTGCTCATTTGTTTTTGCAAATGCTCATGCATACGGAGTTGTGTGTGACTGCTCACGCCATAAGGTTCCGTTGCTCACGCCACAATCTTCGTTGGTCCCAGAATAGGCAAACGGCAATTACAATAAAAATTTTTCGTGTTTTCCCTATTCTCCTCGATCGTGCTAATCCGAATGAGTTTTGTTGTTGGAGTTCCGAAAACTTTTCACTGCAAGAAATTAATTCTTGTTTTTGTTTCGGCCAAAATGGGCGACCTGAAGCGATGAATTTCTTCTTCGCAGAACATTTTTTTTTTTAAGTAAGAAGATCTGCATTATTTATCATAGTATAATAATAAAATGTAGGGCCTTTTTTAAGTGCTGTATTAAAATGTATTTTTTATTATTTTGATATTTTTAAACCCCTTGTGAATGTTACAACAATTTTATTTTTCAGTGCACCCCCAGACACCCCCACATGGATGGGAAAAAAATTCTCGCACCAATGTGTTGATGATTTTTTGCATTGGTATAGGAGTTTGCTCTCCCGTATGCATAGCTTGGGCACCACTGTTTTAAAAGTCCTTAAAATAGGGATCTAATGATGTCATAACCTTAAGATAACATCAAGCTCCAATGATCCATAACAGAAAGGTTAACAGTGAACATAACTGTTAAGTTATAAGCTGTTAAGGTCCACAGTTATTGCCGATAAAAAAAAACATGGTTCGATAGGATAAATATTTGCATTCTTCAAAAGGGTTTTTAGTGGACTAAAATGATTTAAAACTTAAATGTTTGAGACTGCATCGAACCAGAGGGGCTTGTACAGCGTGCGGCACGAAAACTTGCTGATATGTTTTTGGCTTCAAGCGGGGAGGGGTGGGTAAGGGTGGGGAGTGCCTCATGTTTTAGGGGACTTCCTGAAGTTTCGTCTACTCCGCAGTCAGTCGACATCATGCATTGGACGAAAGAGCAGCGCGCATTTGCCTGCGAGGCTTACTTTTCCAACGGTCTTCAGTACTCAACGTGCCTTCCGTACTCGCTTTAACATACATCCTGCAGGTCGCGTTCCTGGCCGGCAGTCGATTGTTTAAAACATTCAAAATCATTTAGGTGAAAACATTCAGGGAGAGCGGGAATGTGACAAAATCCCATCCAGCTTATCGGAGAGTCAGAGCACAGAAAAACATTGAGAGAGTTCAGCTGAGCTTCGAAAATCGCGTATCTCAGTGCATTGAAAACGGCGGCCATCATTTTTCCGATGTAATCTTCAGTATTGTGTAATGAAAACTTCAGCATGTGTGTTACAAGAGTAAAACAAACGTGGAATGGTATGTCAACTTTTTTTTGTTATAACCTAAAATCAGCAAGTTTTCTTGCCGCACCCTGTACTTAGTGTTTGTGGGTGTCAATTGTAGAAATTAATCGTGTTGGTTTTGAAATGGTTGTATTTGTGTACCCCCTGAAAAGGTAAAAGTTAAATTGGAATATAGTAAAAAAACAGTTCAATAAGGGAGCTAGCTAAACATAATACATATTTTTTTTTATTTGCATAAGAAAAAAAAAAAAGACTGCCATCCATCTGAAATAATAGTATCAGATCGGTCACATCCGATCCACTCATTTCTTCTGTTAACTTATCAAAGCGTATTCGGACTCACAACCAATTCAGCCTACCATTAAAAGTATCTGAATTGCTTGATGGCGTATGTAAGTTCTACTTCGGCTACAAATTTACACTACATTTCAGTTTTTCAATTTAAATATTTCTCTGATATGGAACTACAAACCGAAAAACAAATACAATGACAATAGAAATGATGTACTTAAACATAATATTTTAATTATTCTACATGTATTTTAACAAGAAAGGAAAGTTAACTTCGGACGGAGCCAAAGTTTATATACTTTATATATCATAATAAACCAATAAATTACAATAACATATCTAAAAAAAAAAGTCCCAAGCTAAGTTGGTGTATGTACTAAACACTAAATACCATTTCCGATCGTTCAATTATATGTCTGCGATAAGATCACTGCGTTGCACACTTTTGGACAAAACTATAAGGTGCGTTCCAAAGTAAACAGGACTTTTGGAATCTAGCGCCCTCTAGTGGCGCCATCTATATGTCAACTGGTGCGTTAGAATCTGCTATCTGTTATCGACTTCCAGTAAAAATTGCATGACATTTCATCTATTGGAACTGAGGTTATTGCGTATGTGAGGTTATTGTCAGTATGTTTTTGTCATCGGTGCAAAAGTAAGCTTCGAACAAAGAGTCAACATTAAATTTTGTTTTAAAATTGGTGCAACTTTTACCGAAACGTTTCAATTGATGAAACAAGTTTATGGCGATGATTGCATATCCAGTAGCAGAGTGCACCAGTGGTTTCAACGTTTTCAAAGTGGTCGTGAGGACATAAATGACGATGAAAATGTGGGCCAACCAAAATCCGTGATCACCTAAAATTCCATCGAAACTGTGCGTCAATTCATAAAAAATCAGCCGAAATCATGATTGAAATTCATGGAAATAGAATTGCTCAGAATTCAACATTTGAAAGATATCATTAAAGAGGCAAACAAAGACCCGAACTTCCTTTACAAAATTGTGACTGGTGACGAAACGTGGTATTTTCAATATGATACCCGAAACGAAACTCCAGAGTGCTAAATGGAATGCGCCGCACGAGCCGAAACTTAAAAAATCGCGCCTGGAGAAGTTAAAAGTGAAGGAAGACAATGCTGATTTGTTTTTATGATTCCAAGAGTATTGTCCACAAAGAAATTGTTCCACCCGGCCAAAACGTTAATGCGGTATTCTACTTTGGAGTTTTGAAGCGTTTGGTGCGCCTATTCGACGTGTTCGGCCCGAATACCGCGAAGATGGAAGTTGATGTTTGTTGCACGATAATGCGTCTCTCACCGATCGTCGCTTGTGACAGACTATTTGACCAAAAATCACATTTTAAGCATCAACTGTATTCACCTGATATGGCACCGTGCGACTTCTACCTTTTTGGGAAAAATGCATTTGCCGATTAAAAGAAAGCGTTATGCAGGCGTTGATGCCATTCAAAAGGCTTGCACCGGCATACTGGCGGCCATACCGGGCAAAGAGCTACAACACTCGTTCGATATGCTTTTGGACCGTAAAAAAGCTGTATTAAAGCAAAAGGAAACTATTTTGAATAAAATAAATTGATTTTGCCGAAACAACTATTTGTTTTGTCGTTTTTTTTTAAGTCTTGATTACTTTGAAACGCACCTTGTATAATACCCTTTTGCAAGGGCATAAAAACAACTATTTAAAGCTAATTTACAAGCCTGTGATTTACGTTAATGGATATTTTAAAGCGTACTACTTTCTTTTTAATTGTTCAATAAAAATAAATATACACAAAAAAATATATATTTTTTTAATTTTATACTAAAATAGGTTATACTACTATACTAAAATTTTATACTAAAATAGGTTATACTACTATACTAAAATTTTATACTAAAATAGGTTATACTACTATACTAAATTTTTATACTAAAATAGGTATATCTTCAAAACAAAGGCGTCCCAACGCCCATTTTCTCAAAACATATTGATTTTTTTATTATAAAAATTAATCCGAAAACCAAACCAAAATATCTCGTTTCGTTTTCGAGATGTTAATCTCGGCCACAAAAAATGGTCGTCGGCCTCTTAGTGCGTTGGCGTAAAAATATTGTGGCTTCCAAATTTCAATTTCACAATATTTCTGTTTACGATGCGCCGATGTGGTAGTAGAACAAATAGCCCTTTACCATAGTTCAGCGCCGATCGAGTCAAGGTGCATGGAGTCAAAGTAGCCAAGGTTCGAACCAGAAAATGGTGATACAGCTGCTCGTTGCACAACAGTCTAAATAATCTGTGCAGGCGCTACGAATAACAATGTGGAACGCCAATGGTGTCTCGTGGCATAAACTAGAATTCTCACAATTCTTGACCGAAAACCATATTGACGTTCTGCTACTGGTGGAAACGCATCTTACAAGCAAATACAACTTTCATCCAGATGGGAAAGCCCACGGCGGAACTGGAGTTCTAATCAGAGAAGGCATTAAACACCATTTTCACAAAAGGATTGCAAAGATGCTGAGCAAACTCTCAAAATGCGCTATAGAGATAGTCTGCAAACTATTGAATGCGATCATTTATCGACTATTTCCCAAAAAAGTGGAAGAAATCCATCATTGTAATGATACCGAAGCCTGGAAAAGACCTCACAATTCCGCTATCATACAGACCAATAAGCCTTCTATTTTGTTTGAAAAATGTTTGTTAACTCGCATAATACCACATCTGGAAGCTTGCAATATTATCCCGGCACACCAATTTTGCTTCCGAAGAAACTACGGAACCATCGAGCAAGTGAACAGATTAACATCCGAAATACGCTCAGCCTTCGAACAGCGAGAATACTGCAGCGCTATTTTCCTCGTCGTATCTCAAGCTTTCGACCGAGTTTGTCGCATTGGACTCATGCACAAAATTAAAACGTATTTGCCAAAATACACCCACAAGCTACTTATACCCCTACAATAGGGTATACTCAGTGAGATGCACCGCAGCTACTTCGGGCGACTACATCATCGAAGCTGGAGTTCCACAGGGAAGCGCACTCGGCCCGTGTCTATATGTTTTGTATACTGCGTATAATTCTAGGAAGGCACAACTAATAACGTCAACGTTCGCAGACGATACCGCTCTTATTCTTAGTGCAACGCAACGCAAGCAACAACCAAACTGCATAATCATCTTATAGTAGTGGAAAGGTGGCTGTCCGACTGGCGCATTAAAATATACGAACAAAAGTGTATACGTTACAAAAAGTATAACGTTTACTCTTAATAGACAAACATGCCCTCCGCTTTCACTAATCGGTATGCAGATCCCTCAAGCTATCGAAGTAACGTACCTTGGGGTCCACCTTGATAGACAATTTACTTGGCGTAAGCACATTAAATGCAAGAATGCACCTAAAACTGAAAGCCAGCCACCTCTACTAGATGATAAACTCACGATCGCCACTGTGCCTGTACTACAAGTTACTACTCTACAATTCATTCCTGTGGGGGAACGCGATCAGCAGCAACATAGACATCATACAGCGCGCACAATCAAAAATCTTGAGAACTATCACTGGGGCACTATCACTATGTTCGCAACGTAAACATCCACCGGTATCTGGGCATCCTCACAGTGAAAGACGAAATCCAGAAGCAAAAAGAGTCATACAAAGCACTATGGGCCGAAACGCCCTTTTTTTTTTTTTTGGTAGAAACTCCAGTTTTAGAGATACGGGCCACAAATTTTGCACATACCTCTTAACTTTTTGGTCGAATTTCGAAATTTTTTGTTTTATAAATTTTTATAAACAAAAAATTTGTATATAAACAAAACAAGCTGTTTTTTTTTTTTTGGAATTTTTTTTGCTACTCCAATTTTAGATATACTGGGCTAAAATTTTGCATATATGCTTGAACTATTTTTTTCGAATTTCGATTTTTATTGACCACGCCTATGGCCGCCGCCTACATCAAAAGTTGGCCATACTTTCTTTTAAATTAATTTTTACATAAACTTAAGTTTTTCATAAAAAGAACTACAACTTTTACTAAATATGGTTCTATTAGCTATAATGTTTAAATTATTTAAATAATTATTTATTTAAATTTGAATTCCTATATATTTATAAGTAACTTCACCTGGCTAGAAAAAAAAAGGCCACCTGGCCTGGAAAAAGTAACACACTACAAAACGCAACTACTTTTGTTACACATTCCTGCTAAATAGACACTTACAAAACATTTGACAACACAGACACAAATATAATGATAACACGAAATAGTTTAATTATTGATTTTTCATACCTTGATCTTTGTTTTCCATATTTAATCTGGTATTTTCACTCAATTTAATCCAATTGTAACACAATTAAAAGTTGCCGCCAATTTGCAAGTTTCCGGGTTGCAATGAATCAGCTGGTTAAATGACCGCGCTAAATTAACAGGGTTGCAATAAAGCTCAAAAAAATGTATATTTATATTTATTTGGGATGTCAATTCATCAAAATTTTGTTCATATTCAAAAAATAGTTTCATAATTTTTTCGATTTTATGCCGCACTGGGACCATAGTGCAAAGAAAAACTGTCTTCGCACCCAAATTTTCTCGCTTGGGGATTGACTCTGGTTTCTAGCGTATCCCGCCGGTGACGGAACGACCTCCCAACCCAGCAATCGGTTAGGGCCGTTTAACTCTGTATCAGTCAATATTAGTTATTGAATTAAGTTTAGCTAAAAATATTAGTTAAGTTAAAACTGTTAGTTAAGTTTAAAATATTAGGTTTTCAAAAAAGTCGCGGTATTTTTATTGAATTTTCAATTGTTCATAAAATTGGTTACAATAATGCGATGCAAGTCAAATATGCGCCGTTTTGTTCGATGACGCGTTCCCAACCAGATGCCAACTTCATAATGCCCCTCTCATAGAAGCTCGCTTCCCTATTGGCAAAAAACTCGGAGAGCCAATTTTCACAGGACTCTCTAGTGGCCAACATCTTCAAATGGTTTATAACGGTTGGTGTTTTTATGAGATGTCCCATCTACGTACAATCTGTACCCATAATGTACTTTATAATCTTTGTTTCCGCTAGCCGCAATTTAGCTAATCACGCTTTTTTCTCGGGTATAATCAGTAAAAACGTTTTATTATAAAAACAATTTATTTGAACACAAAAATGTACAAGAAATATATTATATCTAGTACCCAGCTCATATCTTCCACTCCTATTTTAACTAACCTTTAAAGTTTAAAGGTATAGATTCTCAGCAAAATATTTTTGTTATATACTTTTCCGCTTGAAAAAAAAACAAACGAATCAATTTAGTCTATAAAGATTTTTAACAGAATAAAAAATCTATAAATCCTCAAAAATGGTCCGATTAAGCAGAATTTTGATTTTTAGGTGTAGATTACACATTGGAAAAGTTTGACATTGAAACATTTCCCAAAAATATGAATGAGCTGGAGCTACACCGAGATCTTCGTTTTGAGGGCGCTTAAGATCCACGCATTCAAAATTTTACCTCGTTTGTATAGGAAATGGTATATATGAATGGGTATATCTCTTCTAAAGATCGGTTTCTTCAATAGATTTCTTCTACAAAATTTTTATTTCAGATACACAAAAAACTATAGAAATGGTTTGGCATCAAAAGTTGTTTTTATAAACCTTTCTGTACTTTCTGTAAAGAAATTTGCTGTTTATGGTGCGTTGCAAAAGGAGGGCGTAAGAAAAATTTAAAATAAACTTGCATTAGGCATTATTTGAGTCTCTATTATTATAGTCGGACGGACGGACAGACGGACATGGCTCTATCAATTTGTTGTTGATGCTGTTCAAGAATCAAGGGTCAGAGATGATTCATTCTCTCTGTTACACAAATTTACACGACTACAATATATCCTTGTACTCTACTAGAACCAGGTATAAAAATCAACGTCTATGTGTGCGTTTTGTACACCACTGATTTATACCTATCGAAAAGTATCGATTTAAGTATCGAAAAAACCAACTACCATAGGAACAAATTAAAAATGGATTTAAAATGTAAAGAAAATTGAGGTTGGCCTTTAAAAATAACAACCTAACGTAAAACGAACAAATTTTACTTAAAAATATTTTTTCTATTTTACTCCCATTGATTTGTGTTGTCCAGGTCCAACAAAATTACTTGTGATAACATTCGCTAATTTATATATATATATATAAATATATGTTTTTCTTCTCAAATTTTAGGATTCATTCCAACGATAGATAAACTTTTCGATGAAGAGTTACTTATTGGGAAAGGTGTAACATTGGACTCTATTCGCCCCTTGGCCTATTCTACATTGGCAGATCTTGCCCATCATGTTCGTCAAAGTTTAAGCTTGGATATATTAGTAAAAGCAGTTAACTTGTTTTCAAAAAATGTTCATGATGAAACCCTTGCTGTGGGAATACAAACCATGTCTTGCAAGCTTTTATTGAACTTAGTGGACTGTTTACGGCACCATAGTGAATTAGAGCCTCAACGATCCAGGAAAATACTTTCAAAATTATTAAAAGTTTTTGTCAAAAAGTTTGAAACTATTGCAAAAATTCAGCTTCCTCTAATTATTCAAAAATGGTGAGTAAAAAATAACTTGTATATTGTATAAGTTTATTACCCTAAAAAAATGTCGGAAACGTCAATTAAACAGAGCTAGACCTCTGCATTACATATTTAAACAAGAAAGGAAAGCTAACTTCGGGCGGAGCCGAAGTTGATATACCCTTGCAGTTAAAACCGGATATACAGGGTGACAATAAATAACCCGGACAAACTTTGAAGCAATCTATTATAAATGTATTATGATGCAGCCCTTAAATAAATGCATTTATCGATAGCTTGTACTTTTCTAAAACAAATATATTTACATTTTTGTGATTCCCATCAATTTGATATTTCTTTCGGGATGTCTAACAATCGTTGTGAAATTTTAAAACTGTTTCAACAAGGAAATCGCCAATGCACAACAGTTTCCAAAATGTCCCGGCGGTACACTTGATTGATTTTGACCCCTTGATCGATAAAAACAAGGGGTGTTTTTCCAGTGGCGCATATTCCTCCCCAAACCATTTCGATCAACTGACCAACTGAAAATATAATCTGTACTAAGTTCCAGATTTGTATCTTCAAAAACATGAAAGTTGGGTCATTTCCGATCGTTCAGTTATCGGAATAACCTAATAAAAAATATAATCTTTACTTAGTTTCAGCCCTCTATCTTCAAAAAAAACGCCAATTGGGGTATTTCCGATCATCAGTTATATGGCAGCTACAGGATATAGTCGGTCGTTCCGACTTATATAGTTCCAACTTTATTTTCTGGCTAAAAAGCTTTGGAATATAAACAGTAAATTGCGCCAATCCAATCCTTAAAAACCTTCCAGTACTTTCGATACAGAAAATCGGGACTAGTGCGGAAGGCGGAATTTCGGACGGAAGACGGCGTGGAAATATTTTGAAACGAACTGCATTGTAGGACTCTCTATGCCAAAACCTATAGCTCCATCTCTAATAGACTCTGAGATCTATGCGTTCATAGGAACAGACGAACATGGCTATATCGACTCCACTGTTGGTCTGATCAAGAATTTATATACTTTATGGGGTCGGAGATAATTATTACTCTATGTCACATACAATATAAACATGTACTTTACGAGTACCGTGTATATTAAAAGTCTCCATTTTCCATCTTGACCTCCGTGGAATCCGCGCCCTCGTTGTAGCGCCGATACCCGCCATAACAATACTTTTGTTTCTATGAGACCTTCATCTATAAATTTTATAATTTTTGGTCCTTGGCGTAGATAAGCGTGTGTGCAGAAACTCTTTAAAAGCTCAAAAGCGATACGCGTGAAGTAAAGCGTATGCGCACCTAGAGCGCCAAAGTCGAGAGAATTTGTTCGATACCGAGTAGCTTAGCTATAGCTTAGTGAGTACTGATTTGTACTGATTATAATGAAATTATGCAACCATACCCAAATACACCGACAATAATTTACAATTTCATTTTAGCAAAGGGCAGTTTAATTCTGGAACACCTTTAAGTACGACGGGAGCTCACATTACATTACCAGTTATAAATGTATCCGAACTAAAAGACGTACGTATGAAATATAATTTTAGTTTATAACTAACTAAATAATTTTATAAACATCTAGGATCAATTAGGAAATGAACATTCCAAAACATTTGCAAATGGATCCCAATGGGTGTATTCCGTAAATGTGGCAGAATTTCGAAGTTTGGTTAAAACACTTGTTGGCGGAGTTAAAACCATAACATGGGGATTTTTTAACTCAAAGGTACGTTTTTAAAATAAAATAACCGTTTATTATTGCTTATGTGCTTAATGTGCTTACGTTTATGTGCTTAAATAAACAAATAATAAAAAATAATTGTTTTGCACTTTGTAAAGTTTCAGGTTTCTGACACTAATCTGCTAAACCATGAAAAGCTCTTTTCACCCGATATTTTAAGTTCGTACATTGACTTGGTTTATTTTGCGATGGAGGCTTTGGATATTTATACCATTAATGTCAATCCAAGCCAACAACGAACGTCAGGATTAATATCTAGAAGTAAAGAGGAAAAAGAAGTTTTGGAACATTTCAGCGGAATTGTAAGTCATTTTAAAATATCTTTTATTAGTAGTGCCAAATGACATTTAAACAAAAAAACAAGAAAAAAAAGCTAACTTCGGGCGAGGCCGAAGTTGATATACCCTTGCAGTTTGAACCGGAAACATCGGATATAGTTGCTCGATCTATATGAGAATATCATAATATAACCAATTTATTACAATAAAGTTGCAAAAAAGTCCGAAGCTTCTATCTTCCAAAATACCAAAGTTGGTATTTTCACCAAATACCAAATATACAGGGGCAAATATAATTTCTATATCATTCTACGGTAAAAAAGCTAGCAGATATCTTGAAAAGTCCCAGATACTGCAACTTATTTATAATTAGGTAAAATCCTGTTTATTATTATTTTAAAAGTTCGTATCGTATTTCGTATTTTATAAGTCACCTTGTAAAACAAAGAGTGTTTATCGAAGCGGAGAAATATTTTCCCCGCATTGCGATGCGATTCGTATATATACAAAGCGTATAAAATACGTAAATGTTTTTATTGGTCGCCTTAAATTTTTTCATAGAGATCTTTTTTTTTTAACTCTAAAAAAGGTAAAAATATTTAAGTAACAAGTTTCTTATATTTTTTATATGAATTTGTATTAAAAAAAAGTGAAAGTATCTACTTTTGCATGTTAGGGATTTTTTATGGTTTTCACCAAGTCTTAATATTTGGTCTTAAGTTTATTATGTTCTTTATTTATTCCTAATTTCGCTCAAACCCGTTGGGATAGGCTACTTTGGAGATATTACACAGCTACGGCTGCTGAGTTATACTTATGACGGAAATAAAATACTACCCTGGCTGTATTTTGAAGCCTTCTCTGAGCTGCGGCGCAGTGGCCCAGTTGCAGTGTCAGCATTCCGTATCCGGCCAGCAACGATCACTTGTTGCGCAAGGGCTCGAGGCGGTCCGCGGACAGTTGCCCTTGGAATGCGTGGTTCGTTACGCGTGCGGGCCACCGGATCCGGTGTAAAATTTGGCACTTTTCCTAAATTCATTCTGCGCGTGTTAACTTATATTTACTTTATGGGATTGGAGTACCAGGTATAAAATTATTTTGGCGCATGTTCAATCGATTTGTTTAAAACCAGTGCACTATGGGGTAAATTAACACGTTTTTTCGCATTAAATATTACAGGTGAACCAATAGAGCTTTTTGAATGCCGTTATTTGTATTATGTTGGTCTAGGCTTTAGAAAAATACTTTGTAAGAGTAAGTGTGTCAACACCCCAACTGCCCACAAATAAATAAAAAAAATATTACTAAAAAATTACAGTAGCATTTTTTACAGTAAAAATTACAGTTATATAACTGGCATTTTTAAAGCTAGAAATACCAATTTTTTCGCAGCAACTCGCGTTTTTGTTGCCGTCAAATGAATCTAAGCTTTGAATTTTGCCCCCAAAAATTAAAAAAAATTAATATTATTAAAAATGTTTAAATAAGTGTTATATTTTGCACACCATAAAATTTTATCCATATTATACAAAAAACACGTAAGTTATTCAATAAAGAACTTCCCTCCCCTTCCAAAAACTCCACCTAGCAAACACCTAGACGTTGTAAAAGGTAAGGTTATATAAGAAAAATGCGAATTACTCCAGTAGTGCGGAAAATGAGACTAACTGATATTGATTCAGAATTGAACAAGCTACAAAATACATTTAGACTTACACCTAAATAACACAAGAATTTAGGTGTAAAAAAATAATTAAAAATAAAAAACGCGCTAAAAAACTTTAATAAAATAAACAAATGTTAGTATAGACACCCACTACCTGGTCGAAATAAATATTGGGACACTTTATTTTTTTTTAATAAATTCGTAAATGATTTTTAATTTTTTTTGTTTTTATTTTATTTGTAAATATAGAGAAGAAATGCATTGAAAACAGATAAAACTTTTTTGTTTTACTGATCCTTTTCACGAAAATTTGTATTGTTATGTTAGCTCCCTTAGAAATAATTATTGGTACACTGTATAGAAAATAATTTTTAAAAAATTCATAATTGTAGAAAAAAAATGTATTTTCTCACCTAATAGTGGGTATTGCCTGCGTGCTTTGAAATGATTTCAGCCAAGCGTTTAGACATTAAATTAGCCAAATCCTGCAATGTTTTTCGTCGATTTTGGCCTATTCTTCAACAAAACCCTTCTTGAGCTTTGCCAAATTTTCAAACTGTCGTCCATTGCTGTATACTCTATTTGAGAGTATACCCCACACATTCTAAATCGGGTTTAGGTCGGGACTACAAGCTGGCCACCCCAAAAGTTCAATTTTTTAATCCTCAAAAAACTGCTTTGACACTTTGGATACGTGGATGGCGGCGTTATCCTGTTGAAAAATTAACTTTTTCTCAAAATAAGTTTCGCCAAACGGTATCAAAACGTCGTCCATTAGTCTTATGTACATCTGACAATTCTTTCGTGTTAATAAAAAACACATAGAGGATCTTCCGGCGTGTCCAAATGCGGCCCATACCATCAGTGAAGCACCTCCGAAATTGCGAGTCTAGCAGGACTTGCGTTCACGGTGGATATCTCTCCAGGACATCATTTTTCCCTTCAACTTGAATGGTCCTGACGGAAAAATGATGTCCTGGAGAACTGAAAAATGATATCCAACCGAGCCGAGCTACAATGATAACCGAGCTACAACATCGGTTCTAATGCTCCGATCATTATGTGAGAGTACTCTCAACAGTATATACTTAAAGAATATGCAATACAAAACGCAATCGATTTTTTCATCTATCACAACTGTATATAACCCCTTAAATACATAAATTATTTTAGGGTTGAGGCATCATAGTTTGAGGTTTCCTTTATGCACTCACAATAGTTTAAAATTAATTTGAACATTTTTAAAATATGTCTAAATCAGTGGTCGGCGCTCAATTTATTGTTATAATTATAATGCATTAGTATTAGTAACGAATAGCAGAAAGTAGGCTGAGAGCATGACGTTTCCTCATACGTTTATAATGCGGTTTATAATTTCTGCCGAGCGGCAGAGCTCGGGACCAGTGTTGCCGTCAGCTCGTTACAGAAAAAGGCTAGATTGATTATAAAAAAAGGATAGAAAAGGACAAAAATTAGAAAAAAAAAGGACAAAAAACAAGACAAAATATTTTTTCCATAAATTTTATGTAATATCACTCTTTATTGGTGGCCAAATCGTTACTAGAAATTTCGTATGCCCTTGGAATAGGTCCCTGCCGCCCACTGTTCTATACCCTTGCAGAGGGTATTATAATTTTGGTCAAAAGTGTGCAACGCAGTGAAAGAGACACCTCCGACCCAAAAAGTATATATATTCTTGATCAGGACCACCTCCTGAGTTGATATGAGCATGTCCGTGTGACTGTTTCTGCCCAAACTAGCCTCTCAGTTTTAAAGCTATCGATTTGAAACTTTGCACACATCCTTTTTTCTTTTGCACACACTATATAAGTGGGAACGGCCCGGATCGGCTGACTATATCCTATAGCCACATAACTGATTGATCGGAAATGGTATAACTTCGGTGTTTTTAAAATTAGAGAGTTCAAATTTTACATGAAAGCTATTTTTGGCAAAATAATACGACATGCCAAATATTCATAAGGATCGGCCGACTATATCCTATAGCTGCCATATAACTGATTGATCAGATATGGTATAACTTCGGTCTTTTTAAATTAGAGAGTTCCAATTTTACATGAGAGCTATTTTTGGCAAAATTATACGACATGCCGAATTTCATAAAAATCTTATAGCTGCCATATAACTGAACGATCGGAAATGACCCAACTTTCGTGTTTTTGAAGATAGAAAGCTGAAACTTAGTACAGTTTATATTTTCAGTTGTTCAGTTGATCGAACCTACCAAAATTCATAAGGATCGGCCGACTATATCCCAAAGCTGCCATATAACTGACCGATCGGAAATCTTGGGCTTGGGTTGAAACTTGGGCTGAAACTTAGTACAGTTTATATTTTCAGTTGGTCAGTTGCTCGAACCTACCAAAATTCATAAGGATCGGCCGACTATATCCCATAGCTGCCATATAACTGACCGATCGGAAATCTTGGGCTTGGGTTTTTTTTTAGATTTCTTATTGTAAGAAAGGGCGGAGAGGGAGAGGGCGGACGCATTTGCTGCTCATTTGGAGGACGCCTTCACTCCATTAAATGGATGCTCGGAGGTGGACCAAGCTGAGACTGAGAGGCTCCTGTCTCTGTCAATTGGAGCCCATGTCAGTCTCGGAAGAGGAGGTTCCAGAGGAGGTCTCTGGCCTCAACACCAAAAAAATCCACGGATGCGGATGGCCTTGAAGCACTTGCCATTAAACTTCTCCCCCCATTAGGTATCCAAAGGCTATCGTATCCATTAGGATACGAGCATATTCAACGCGTGCTTGGAGATCGGCCACTTCCCCTCTGACTGGAAAAAGGCGGAGGTCATCCTCATTCCGAAGCCAGGAAAGCCTGAAGCTGATCTTGCCTCATACAGGCCGATAAGCTTATTACCAGTACTATCCAAAATACTTGAGACGCAAGGTCAGATTATAGGGCCATTAAGGCAGGCGTTCTGCAGGGTAGTGTCCTTGGTCCAATTCTCTACACACTCTACACAGCAGATATGCCTGTTATAGATGAAGGTTTGCTAGCCGCAACATATGCAGACGACACAGCTTTCCTAGCTTCGGCAAGCTTGCCACAGGATGCTCGATGCCCTTGACCCGTGGCTTTAAAGATGGAACATCTAACATGGCGTCTAACATGGAGGACCCATCCACTGCGCAAACGAAAGTAAGTACAGGAAAAGCTGCGGCGGCTTTACTGGTTGATTGGACGAAAGTCAACCCTGAAGCTGAGGGTAAAACAACTAATATATAAGTCAATAGTGAAGCCAGTTTGCACGTATGGTATCCAACTGTGGGGCACAGCGAGTCCAAGCGATATGAAAGTCATTCAGCATTCAGTCATTCAGTCATGGCACAGAACAGAGCTCTCAGGACGCTGTCTGGGGCTCATTCTTACCATGACAATTTAACTATTCATGCTCAACTGGGCATCCTTACAGTCAGCGCTGAAGTTAGAAGATTCGCCGCTAAATACAAGGACAGACTAACACATCATCCCAACACATGTGCCACCAATTTGCAGCAGCACCACCATCAGAAGACTCAAGAGGAAGCATCCACTGGATTTACTAAATTTTTTAATATAAAATATATATAATGGAAATGCTAAAACTTCAGTGTTTTTAGAGTTAAAGAGTTCGGATTTTGTATTTAATAAGGGTCGGCCTACAATATATTTTAGCAGTCATATAACTAAACAATCTGAAATGATCAAACTTTCGTGTTTTTGAAGATAGAAAATTGGGGCATTTTTTATATTTTGTATTGTAAAAAATTCGTTATATCGACGCATTTCCGCGAAAGTATCGTAAGTTTCCGGAAAATCTTAAGATGTTTAAGCGATTAGAAACGATTGTTATTGTATTTCTTTATTTTTGTGCGTTTGAAGTATTTGATGCAAAAAATTTGTATGGACATACGATAATTTCGCGCGGACTTTGAAAAGCACTGTAACATACGATAAAATTGAAACTTAATTTTTATCGGAACTGTAGGGTTTTCAGTTATAATATTTCACAGGGTAGTGAGACATTAGGTGCCTAACAATTTAGCATTACAATCTCAATTTCGAAAAAAAGCGACTTACGATACTTTCGCGGAAATGCGTCGATATTATGATATTCTCAAGGATAGGATCGGCAAACTATATCCGATGTTTGGAAACTATATACGATATATATTCGGGTTCAACTGCACGGGTATATCAACTTCGGCTCCGCCCGAAGTTAGCTTTCTTTTCTTGTTTTTTAGTCTAAAGCATACTACAAATATATAAAAATTTGTCCTTCCTTAATAAAAAATGTCTTACATTTTCTTTCTCTCTATTTGTACAGTTTTTGATGATGCATTCTCAAAACTTTCAAGAGATATTTTCGACTACAATAAATTTTTTAGTCGAAAGGATCTATAAAAATCAGTCATTACAAGTGATAGCCAATTCCTTTTTGGCAAACCCAACAACGTCACCGCTTTTTGCCACCGTTTTGGTTGAATATTTACTGGATAAAATGGAAGATATGGGATCCAATCTTGACCGCTCCAATTTATATCTTCGGCTATTTAAATTGGTTTTTGGAAGTGTGAGCCTTTTTCCAGTTGAAAATGAACAAATGTTACGACCACATCTTCACAAAATCGTTACACGTTCAATGGAGTTGGCTTTAATATCCGATGAACCGTATAACTACTTTTTACTATTAAGGGCATTGTTTAGATCGATTGGCGGTGGTAGCCATGATCTACTTTATCAAGAGTTCTTACCACTTTTACCCAATCTTTTGGAAGGTCTAAATCGGCTTCAAAGTGGTTTCCATAAACAACATATGCGTGATCTATTTGTTGAACTTTGCCTAACAGTTCCGGTTCGTTTATCATCATTACTTCCTTATTTACCAATGTTAATGGATCCTCTAGTATCGGCTTTAAATGGATCACCAACTTTAATAAGTCAGGTAAGTTATATTGCGAATAACTTTTTAGTGTTAAGACATTTCAAAGCAATGCTCAAAAATAAAAATTGCAATTTCAAAGTGTCTAAAAAAAACGATAAATTCGGGACATTTTAAAATCATGAAGAACACTTTTTAAATGTTTTTTTTTCTAAAAGAGTTCTGCTCAGAGCAAAAAACTTGTATTGTACACTTGCAGAGGGTATTGTAACTTTGTCCAATAGTGTGAAACGCAGTGAAGGAGACATCTCCGACCCTAAAAAGTATATATATTCTTGAACAGAATAACCTCCTGAGTTAAAGTGAACATGTCCGTCTGTCTGTTTCTACGCGAACTAGTATCTCTGTTTTAACATTGCACACATCCTTCTACCCATCGACTTGAAACATTTCACACACCATTCTTTCCTTTGCACGCAGTGTATAAGCTGGAACGGCCGGGATCGGTCGACTATATCCTATAGCTGCCATATAACGGATTGATCGCAAATGGTATAACTTTGGTGTTTTAGAGTTTACGTTTACGTTCAAATTTTACGTGAGAGCTATTTTTGGCAAAATAATACGACCACCAAATTTCCTACGGATCGGCCGACTATATCCTATAGCTGCCATATAACTGAGCTTTCGTGTTTTTAAAGATAGAAAGCTGGAGCTTAAGGGGCCCATCCACAGGCGAGCATGTTGTGCGAACATGTTGTGCTCGACGAAATTTTTCCTGTGGATGGTAGTGTTCGTTGTCAAATTTTGTGTATATAGCTCTATCTCAGTTGGTCATGGCTATATCGGCTGTAAATGCTGATCAAGAATATATGTATATGGGCATTTCCTGGGGTCGCGAACGCAATTAGTGTCACAAGAAAAAAAAAAAAAACATCTTCAAACATGTACGCGAAACTTACGTTCGCGACCTCATGTTTTTTGCCAATATTATGAAAATGAAATGTGTTTATGCGATGCCGAATTCACGATTTCAGTCGATTCGTGAGACCATAACTTTTTTTCGTGAAGTCGGCAACACACGAAAGTTGACTATGATTTGAGCCCCAATGCATGAATGAGTAATGCAAAACCAACTTAACGCTATTCAAATCAGGTGGCTACCGGGTTCTTCTTTGCCGATTGTAAATGATGAATTTAGGTTTATTTATTGCTTGGTTTTTTTTACGTTTTGTGAAAGTGTGACTAGACTTAAATAGCCAATGTTCTTTTCGTTTACGCTTTTGTATTATAAAAATTGGGCTTATATTAAAATTATTTTAAGAATCATCCGCAATGGATATTTGTGATATTTTTTTTTCAATCCGATACGTACATGCTTTATAATATAAGCTGTCATTTTGCTGCAAGGTTCTACCAATATCGGCTTTTTTCGAAGTTAGCTTTCCTGTTTTATTCAAATTATTTTTGTATATTTTAGGGACTCCGAACTTTGGAACTTTGCGTTGACAACTTGCAACCGGACTTTTTATATGATCACATCCAACCAGTAAGAGCGTCTCTGATGCAAGCTCTTTGGAAAACTTTAAGAAACCAAGATAATGCTGCTTTAGTTGCCTTTCGAGTTCTTGGAAAATTTGGCGGTGGAAATCGTAAAATGATGGTAGAACCTCAAAAATTACAATACAATCAGAATGAAAAGCCATCCATATCGATTATAACATATTTTCAAGAATATGATGTTCCGGTGGAATTTCCAGTTGATGAAGCTATTGAATCTGCCTTTAGAGCGCTTGGGTCAAATTCTACTGACCAGTTCTATAGGCGGCAGAGTTGGGAAATAATCCGATGCTTTTTAGCTGCATTTATTAGTTTGGATGACGAAAAACACACATTACTGAAACTTTTCACACATGTAGATTTTATTGAAAGTAATATTATAAATTCATCTGTATTTCAACACAAAGTTAAAGATTTAAGAGTGCGGGAAACTCACCAAAAAGCTTTAATTGGAATGCTGGTGGCATCAGCCACAAAAGACTTGCGGGATTCTGTGTGCCCGGTAATGGCGGCGGTTGTTAGACATTACACTATGGTAGCGATAGCCCAACAAGCGGGACCGTTTCCGCAAAAGGTTTATTCAACTACGATAGGAATCGACCCTATGGTATTAGTTGATGCTTTAGCCTCCTGCATGGGCCACGAAGAAAAGGAGTTATGTAAACCTGGAATAGCCTGTATGGGTATTATACTTGATACAGCCACCAATATAATGGGAAACAAAGAAAGAGCCTGTAAATTACCTATAATACAATATTTGGCTGAAAAAATGATATCTTTGTGTTATGATCGCCCTTGGTATTCAAAAGTGGGTGGTTGCCAAGCAATTCAATTTTTATGTAAACATATGTCTCTTCGAGCTTTATACCAACATCTTTTTAATTTTTTAAAAGCTTTCATGTTTGTACTAATGGATCTAGAGGGAGATGTATCAAACGGAGCGATAGAAATTACGAAAAATAATATGAAAGCAATGTTGGAAATTTGTTTAAGCCCCTTAAGTGAATTAAATAGAAATGAGGATATAAATGATTTACAAACAAAAGCTACATATGAAGTTATTCATGAGTTAGTAAGGCATATAACAAGTCCTAATACCATAGTCAGAGAAGAATCAATGATTCTTTTAAAACATATTGGTACCATTCAGGCAAAAACAGTATCTGAAGTGATGGATCCGCATAAGGATGTTCTGGCGGACATAATACCACCAAAAAAACATTTGTTGAGACATCAGCCTGCCAACGCACAAATAGGATTGATGGATGGAAATACTTTCTGCACTACGCTAGAACCGCGATTATTTACGATTGGTAAGTTTCAATTAGCTAACAAAAAATAAATTAACATTATGGTATACAAAAAACTCCTCACAAGGGAAAGGTTTTTTTTTTGGACGTGAAGTCATGTTTTTTGCCTATGTGAACCATTTCTTCTCCACTATGCCTTTCTTTCCATAGAAGTCATTTTTAATATGACAAAAATTTAAAAGAAATGGATATTTAAAAAAAGTCTGTAATGTATACATTTCGTAGTGTAATGGAACATGACGTGTGCAAACAGAAAGTCCTGGCTATATTGACTGGGTTGTTGATGCTGAACAAGAAGATAATCTAAGATGTTTTAGTTTATGTTTTGTTAAGAAGTTTTTTTTATTCGGTCCGCTGTCTATTAATTATAAAATGCTTATCCATGATGTTTTTGTGAGTTGAGATTTATATTACGAGGCTTACGCGGCTATGACCGATGCGTGGATCTCCAAAAATGGACTGACTTAGGTACAGAAAATGTTGTTATCTCTTATGCTAAATCTTCTAACGAAAACAAAGTACCGATATGTTTACGCCTTACGATCTCTAAAGCTCGCCTTACTACTAACCAAGAAATTACGGTCTTACGACTATATGTCCAAATTTGTTATATGTATTATTATATTATCAAATTTTATATTAACTAAATTTGCCGCCGGGTGATTATGCTGTCCAAACATTTCTTAAAATTGACTGTGATGACTTAAACGATGATCTAATTGGAAACTGTTCCTCTGGATAGCATAGGTGACGTATTTTGATTTCTTCTTTGCTGATTAATTCCGTACTGATATTGCGTCTAGCCATCAAAAGAATGGTGATCCTTGGGTTTCGGTTTCATCGCTGAAGCTCGTAGTTGTAGCTAAGACGCAAGGTCCTGGGTATCGAAGTCAACACCCACCTTTATTGTAACTGTCTCCATGTCTATGATCATGGTGCGATTGTCGATTTTACTGCTTGACTTGAAAATGTTTAGGACTCTGTTTTCGATACCACTGAAGTGTAGTTTTTGTAAGCATCTTGCATAAAAGCAGTAATGCAGTACAGCATTATCCCAGCGTTGCAAAACTTAAACGCAAGAACCTTGATGTCGCATTGTTATGTCTGTGGCGATTTTTAAGTTTATAGGTTGAAGACCCTTCTTCAATATTAGATATTTTAACCTTTAAATTAAAAATTATATCTACGAAAATATAAAAACGATTATATTAAATTTGTTTTAGCGGTATTTGGAGAACTCTAATTGATTGAATAAACTTTTTAATTGAATCATAATTTTTATTTTTATTTTTTTTGTAAAAATTGAAAAATAATTCTTATTCTTAATTATTGTTATAAAAATTGAAAATAAGAGTTATATTTCAATTTTTGTCAAAAAAATCAACAAATAATTTTTATTTTAAAATTTTTATTTTAAAAATTATAACAATTACGGTCCCTGCTTAAAAGTAGGCTCTAAGAATGAGGTGTCTCCTAAGTTCCTGTACCCCTGCGGTAATGCCGTTAGGCTTTGTCTCGCAGGGCCAGGATTGGCGTGCCTAAGCGCCCAACTACTTTTGTTTGTCTAGGCTAGCCTAGCCTCCGCTCGGTTCCCTTCAAGTCGTCTCAGCTCCTTCATCGTTAAGGCGGAAAAGCTGCTCATGCCTGCCCAGAACTGGGCGTCCTCCAGCAACCTCCTTCCAATGAGGTCCACCGTCGATACTTCCCCTAATAGTCTCCGCCTGGGGACTGAAAAGCGTGGGCAGTCCAGAACCACATGTTCCGCCGTCTCGTCCACCCCGCATTCAGGGCACCTTGGGTCGTCGTCGTGTCCAAATTTGTAAAGATAGCTCCTGAAGCATCCGTGGCCGCTGATAACCTGCGTGAGCCAGAAGTTTACCTCCCCGTGACTTCTTTTGAGCCATTTCTTAAGGTCGGGGACTAGTTTGTAGGTCCAGCGTCCCTTGGTCGACTCGTCCCATCGTTGTTGCCACTTCTGTATGCTCGTAGCTCTCGAGCTCTCTTTTTGCCGGCGGCGTGTCGCTGCCGGAGCTTGCCCGCTTAGCGCTACTAGGGCCTGGTGTAGCTCTTGCCACTCCGCCGCGAGCAGGTCGATTGGAACCATGCCTGCGATGACGAGAGCTGCGTCCTCCGATATCGTGCGGAAGCTCGAGCACACCCTTAAAGCGCAAAGCCTGTATGTGCTGGTCAATCCATTGGTTTACGACCTTTTTGTGGCTGCCTCCGCCCACACTAGGGCTGCGTAGAGCATTGTTGTACTGCAGACGGTCTGGAGCAGTAGTCTACGACCTTGCTTCGGGCCCCTACAATTGAGCATGATCCTCGATAGTGCTCTGGCGACATTCGCTGCCTTGCGATTGGCTTCTTCGAAGTGCTCCCTGAAGCTAAGCCTCGTGTCCAGCGTTACTCCCAGATACCTGATGGCCCTGGTTGATGTGACCACATGTCCGCGTATATTGATTGTGGCCGTCTCCACCCGCTTCCTGCTTGAAATCAGGACAGCCTCCGTCTTGTGGTGGGCAAGGCTTAGCCCTGCCTGTTCGAGCCAGCCGATGACCTTCACAATTGCAGCATTGCAGTACTCCTCAGCTTGCTGGATAGTCTTGCCGACGACCACTACCGCGATGCCATCCGCGAATCCGACAAGATGTGTCCGTTCCGGGAGCTCAAGTCTGAGGACCCCGTCGTACATCACGTTCCAAAGGGCTGGGCCTAAGACTTAGCCTTTAGGGACGCCGCAGGGGGCCGCGTGTTCTCTGATGCCTGAGGTCGTCTCGTACCTAATAGTACGGTCGCTGAGGTATGACCTTATGACCTCCACTATGCCAGTCGGCACTCGGAGATTGCGCAGCGCCTCCACTATGGCATCCCACCTGGCAGTATTAAAGGCGTTTTTGATGTCCAGAGTGGCGATCAGGCAGTACTCCTTGCTTCCGCCCGCCCATCTGGTCCCCTTGATTGCCTTGGCAGCTATCCTCCTGACCAGGGAAATTGCCTGGACCGTGTTCCCTGAACCCGTATTGTAATGAGGAGAGATCCCCCGCGCGGATTACTTCCTCTTGGAGCCTCCGGCATATGCAGCGCTCTAGGGCTTTGCCGGCGTGATCGATGAGTCAAATCGTCCTTAACGACGACGGAATCTCCAGCGGCTTGCCTGGCTTTGGGAGTAAGACCATGCTTTGTAATTTCCACCTTTTAGGGCATACGCCCTAAATTAAACATGCGTTAAAGACGCTGGCAAACCGGTCAGGGCTCGCAGTCATCGCCAGTTTTCCGACTTGTATAGATTTAGCGATTTTCACTATTTCACGGGGGCCTATTTCCTGAACCGGCGTAGAGCGTGCAGGTTCACTTGCTATACTCGGCACAGGGTGTGTCTGCGTCGGGAAAAGGTGATCTACAATGGCTCTCATTGTGGCGGCTTCTTTTGGAGCGATCGGCTTTGCCTGCTTCGCTTTCTTGACTACGGTCCGGTAGGCCGATCCCCACGGATCTTGCTCTGCAGCATCGCACATCTCAAGGAAGCACCTCGTTTTCGCCTCCCTTATCAAGTCCCTTATCAAGATCTCTCTTTTTTGCTCGAAGTCCGGCCTTCCTCTGGCTCTTTGATGCAGCCTTCTGGAACGGAGACACCGGTTCATGGTGCCTTGAGTGCCCACGGCTACACCTCATGCTGACTCGGCAGGCCTGAAGAACCGCAGACATGGTGTTTTGGACGTCGCGCTCAGTGTCGCTTAGTTCCGGGAGGATCCGGGATACTTAGTTCCTGCGCGAATAATTGCGGTTGCAACGTAGCCGGATTGAACCTAGGTGGTTTCGCTGTTGTGGATGCTTGCGCTCTGTCCTTGATGTCACAGACTATATATTTGTGGTCGCTCGCAGTATAGTCATCACTGAGGGACCACCTTGTCCTCCGAAACAGGCCGCTGCTGCAGAAGGTAAGGTCCACGATTGATACATACCCCGCCTTGCTGAACGTGTTTTGGGAGCCGCTGTTCAGCAGGGCGACGTCGAGAGTCGCGAAGGTCTCCTAGAGGGTGCGACCCCTGGCGTTGGTGCGCGATGCCCCATTCCTCCACTCAGCCGCGTTTGTGCAGGAAGCCACTTTGTGGCCTGGCTTACCGCATCTGAAACACCAGTCGCTTCTATCTGTCCGCTCTTTGCGGAAAGCGGGGATGTGCCCAAAACTGAGGCATCTGAAGCAGCGGCGCAGAGCCGTGCACTCCCTGACCCTGCACATGGTCCATCCTATCCTGATCCTGCTTTCGGACAGGATCTTCGATGCCAGGCTCGACTCCACTCCCAAAAGGGCGACCTGGGTGCCAGAGTAGCCTGGGCGGAGAAACTTCACCCTGATGGCCTCCTCCTGACCGTTCGTACAAGCTTTGATAGCTGCCACTATCTCCTCCTTGAAGGTGTTGAAGGAATAGGTGTTGTGCCAAGGATTTGCTTCTGCGAATGGCGTATTTCGCTTTTTGACAAACCAAGAAGTTAGCTACAAAACAAGTGGCTAATTGTGACATTTTAGGGAAAAAGTAACACTAAAGAATTTGCTTGACATTATCCTGTGCGGTCCTGTGCGCTCTGTTGTGCTCCGTAGCTACTATTTCTTTTCTTCTGCGTTATTTGAAATGTCAATGACCATTTTTTTTGTTTGTCGAAAAGTTATTGCTGGGAGCTCAGCAACGCTTGACCACATCACAAATTCTCCCTAGTAAAGTTTCCTTGTTCAAAAATTGTATAATATGGCTTGACTTTCTTCCAAAAAAAAGAAAAGGGCGGCTTAAGTCTGCTGTACCTTCTTCTATAACTATCTGGTTCCTGAAACAGTTAACAGGCTCGTCAATTGTTTCGATGTTATATATTGTTATGTATTGTTGCGTTGTCTGACTGGGGGTCGTTTTCTTAAACATGTATGGCCTGCCTGGATAGTGTCTATACGGCGAATTGTAACGGTTGGTGATCTGTATAAATGTTTAAGTTTTTGACACCATAAAGATAGT